ACCATGGCAGTAACAATTTAAATAAGTCAAATCCATCCATCCACCTACTCGCCCGCATAGATCCTTGGTGAACTATAGGCCACCCAGAAAGTGTTCAGTCTCAGGTAGGAATACAGCCAGGACATTATGCAGAATAAAATGTTGCTGGAATTCCATTTTTAGCCAGGCTGATATTATAATAAGGGACTGGAGAGCAGTAGGTAGGAAGGTAGCAAAATTTTCCGTAAGTGAGATTATTCCATAATTTGTGGGGGTTAAGGCAGGACCGTCCTTTGCTCTGAAAACCAGAGCAGAAATGATAAAATGTTTACACTAGTAGACAAACTAAAAATCCCCGGTGAACCTTTTTTTCAGCGCTAAAGCTAGTTTTTCAAAAAATGCATCAACAACTTTCCAAACTGAAATAACTTGATTCTCCAGTACTGATGCTAAATTACAGTCTTTGTTTTCCACCTTGTAAAACAACGACTTGATTCCACCAGTTAGTTTGTCATTTTTACAGCTCTGGCACCAGAGCGCAGAGCTGATCGTGATACGTTCCCAGGGGATATTGAATCTGGCCTTTTTATGCAGACACTGGGCTTGCCAATTGTTCCAGAAGACATACTCAAAAATAAGCCGTAAATGTCCTCCTTCAAAATTCCCTTCATTTTAAAATCACACCACTGTCACTGAGGGTTTTTTCCCCCCCTAACATCTTCAGCTCTCCAACTTTACATTATTCAGATGAATAGGACTGGCTCCGGACGGGAAGGTCAGCAGAGCCGTGTGACGGCGGCATGGAAGGAAGGGAGGGGGGTTTTTATTTGGGGATGGGAGTCAAGATGGATTTATGTAAATCAGTGGGGAAGAATAAAACTGCGAAAGACGGGCGTTTTGGCACAAGTATGAAGGAAAACAGACATCAACAAAAAATGGTGATTTGTCGTGGTGGGGCCATCAACTGGGTGGGGTCTGGGGGCGAGATTACAGAGGGGGGGGCCTAAAAGAGACATACTCATAGATATACAGCAGGGGACGACACAGATGGGTGGGAAGGGAAAGGAAAAAAAGATGTAAACCCTTACAGATGGCTGACTCACCCTCCCTCATGCATGGACAATACCCCCCCCCCCATACACACACACACACTTTGACACTCGTGGGTGTTAAATAAAAGGAATTTCTTTTAAGGGTATTATATGCTCTACGATGGAATATGGCCTCTTCAGGTAATGAACCAGATTGACGATTAGATTTATTAGCATTCTTACATTTAGAATTTATCCTGGGGGATCGTGGGTCATCATTTACCAAACATCTCATCACGATAACATAAATCTAACAAGAAAATCACAATATGGTTTAAAATGCTTGGGTTCTGCCTCTTGTTTACATGTGCAGTGTGATATTTATATCAGTTGTTATTGATGAGACTAAAAGGGGGTATGTTTATGAATACTGTATAAATCACGGTATTGCCTATTTATTGTTAATGTCAGTCTTTTTATTGCGCACTTCAGAACACTGCCATAATCCCATTGGTTTGTCCTGCTAAGTCTATTTTCTGCTGGTAAGGTATTATTCAACACAACACTGGTTAGGTTTTCCAGGATCAAAGAGCTCTCTATTTTAAAAGCTTTTTTTACAGGTCTTTTCAGAAGTCTTGGGTGTTTGGAGCCAGACATATTAAAACAGAGGCTTTTTCATTCCCCACCCTGATTCCGGAACACGCAGTCTTGCCCTCAGCGTCTGGACGACTGCTATCACGGTCGTGATGTCTGGCTATTCTCCAGCAAGCTTTAAGTCTTGAATTAAGCCGAGGTGATTGGGGAAATCCAGGAAAAATGTTCTCATCCCCCACCCTGGGCATGACTTAGACATGTAGACTGTTAAGAAGAGACATGTTGTCCTGGTTTTATAATAATAAATATGAATAGGATGCACAACAGACACTTGTAGCTTTTCACTGACACGCGAGCCGGTCACAGTTCATGCATCACTTAGAAGATGTGCTAGCCAATAAAAATGAACTTATTTAAAGATGGAATCGGAAAATATTGCACAGGCAAATTTTGAAATATCTATCACCAAAGTATATTAACCATCGTGCTGTAACCACGACTGGTGTAAACCATTTTAAAATCCATACTTTTCTAGATTTATAGGAAGTATAACGTTTAACTACAATTTCCTCAAAAAAAAGCTATGCTATATTCATAGACCTTGGCAAACAATATAGAAAATGACTAATGCCTTAACTTAATCTAGTGACCTGCATTATAAGTTCTTCTGATGGTGATACTGTACTGTTGTGCCTTGAAGGATCGAAATTAAAGGGCTGCTTCCCTGCTCTTTACCCTTAAAAAAAGCACCAGTTTGTATCACTGAGGTGCAAAGACTTGGTACTGGGGCTGTACCCTCAAGGGTCTGCCAATTGTACCCTAGGTGTAGGTAAATGTACCTTTAACTCTAGGGGACATTTTTGTATCATTCGAGGAACATTCATGTTATTTGTACTTTGGGTAACAAAACTGCACCAGTGCTGAACCGTTTTTCTTAATTTCCTTGCAATAATGCTTTCCCTATTAATCCTGTGACTGGTTATTAAATTATTCAGATGGTAATTTGCAACATTGATTATTAGATTATTATGTATATTTGAAAAATATATTTGCTACACAAGTCATTCTCTCACAAAATGATTTAGTTATATAAATATTGAGATCTAAGGCTTTTGGCTGTGGCACAAACCTTCTACCACACCTTCACTGATTAAAGCACTCAGTTACATCCTAGATATAAAGCAAGTGTTTATTTGTTTGTTTAGTCATAGTATCAAGGGTCTATACACCCCAGCAAATATCCTCCTATTAGGACTATGTGATGAACATACGACCTGACAGAAAATCTAATAATTGCATAAGGCCTGGTCCCAGGCCATGTGGGGCCCTAGGTCATGTGGGGACCTAGGCCATGTGGGGCCCTAGGTCATGTGGGGCCCTAGGCCATGTGGGGTCCTAGGTCATGTGGCACCCTAGGTCATGTGGCACCCTAGGTCATGTGGGGCCCTAGGTCATGTGGCTCTGTCATCAGAAGATCGCCTGATTGGGCTTCAGCCAAATAGACACATGTCCGTGGGCCCTTCACCCGCAGCTCCAGGGATATTGCACACTTGCTGACCCTGTGCTCTGACCCCCCTTGCACACTTGCTGACCCTGTGCTCTGACCCCCTTGCACACGTGCTGACCCTGTGCTGTTGTGTGCTGGAACCGCAGAGGTCATAAATAGTGCTAGGGGCAGCCACATATGTCACCTATTGCATTGACTGGTCCTGAGTTTCATGCCCTCTCCAAGGTGTATTCAGTATCCCAAAAGCAACAACCTGACATATCACTAACAATAGGACATCAAACCATCATTCTGTTGTTCTTTATTCTATATTAATAATCACTTTAAAGCAGCCCGTGTAGCGCTCTACCTCTGAGGCAAAGTGCAAAAGGTTGGCAAGTCGGCACCCCCTAAGAAATTGGTGCCCTAGGCAGCCACCTATATTGCTTATAGGATTGACTGGCCCTGCTGTAAAGTGCAAAGGTAAAAAAAATATATGCTCAGGACATTCTCCAAATATTTTCATAAAATGATTATGTGGTAAACATTTGATTTCTTCTTTAAAATGCTGGCTTGCACTCCTAATAATCTGCTACAATAATATTCATCTTTGGCAAACTGTCTTTTGGCACACCTTTACATTTTGCTTCAGTTTATTAAATCACAATATTCATGAAAAAACCCACTGTGATAAGCCTATAGTTTTCAGCTAGTTCTAATCCACCCAAAATCTACCGCTGTTACGTCAGTTCAAAAGTGCATCATTTTTTAATTTAGCAGTGTTTTTCAGCTGAAACCGTCTGGCTTACAAAAATAACACTGTCTGAATATCTTCTTTGAAATGCATTAAATAGATAGGTAATGTGAAAACGCAGCGGTCTTCAGAGGTATAAGATTCGAAATGAATTCTGGACAGTTGTTTATTTTTACTCTGCTCCGTTTCATTCAGCGTTTTTGTTTCGAACATTGTTCAAAATCGTGCCGCATAATTTGTGAGTAATTTTACACACTTGAATGCAATATTTTAAAAACGTTGTTTATTTTGCATTCTACTGGGAAACATAATAGCTCTCATGTAGAGTTTATCCTAAAATCTTTAATGACAAAGCCAGAGGACATGACCCCACACTAGGAGGGATAACTGAGCGAACACACACACTTTTCTTTACTGCTGAAAGCCTTATCTGAACACTTTCAACCAGCCTCGGGCAAATTGCCAGAATGTAGCAAAACTAAAGTTATAACGACACAAATAATTATGGAATAACAACATTACGTTATTCACTTGTTAAGTTGTCAAATACAGATGAATATTACGCGTCTGCGTCAAAGGAAAATAATTTGCTGAGTCTAAGTGATATAAAATAAGTTTTTTATTAGCATTTTTGCATATATGAACTAAAAAGAATAAGGAGAAAACCAAAAGAAGGCTTTGTACACTGATTAATTTATTACTGTTATAGTCCTACACTATAGATTATATCTGAGATAAAAGAGAAAAAGTCACACATCTTATGCCTATATTATGGAAACTATGTAGCTGTTTATTAGAGGTCCAAGCACATTGTGCGGGAAGACTGATGTTTTTGTTTTAATACATGTGTGTTAAGTTGAAGTTGAAGCTCTTGGTTAAAGTTTCATTGGATTAAGAATATTCATTCTTAAATATTTTATAAATTGCATTTGAAATTGAACTGCATTTTAATTGTATTATAGTGAAATTTTGATTCAAAATTCAAAGTACGAAGGTGTGTCCTATCAGTACAGACAATTCGAGTGCTCGCGGGAAAGCAGTGTTAAGGATCTAGCCAGACTGAACACGGAGCACGTGCTTAACGAACAGTAAACACTGCGGTTTAATCATCGGCGGAAGATGTCGGAATGCTTAGGCGTGCACCCCCTTGCGGTAGCTATAAATACATACATACTGTACATACTTACATACAGACACACATATACTTACTACTGCTACTACTAATAATAATAACAATAATAATCGAAGAATGAGAAGAATCACTCGCTATCTTCATTAGGCTTCTGCATATGTTGTGGAACCTGAGTCACAAAAATAAATCAAAATTTAGGCCCACTGGACTGGTGCGTAATCAGGTGTGACATATATATAGGCCTAGTGTGACCTATTGTGTTTCGAGTCAGATGACAATTTCAACCGTTTTTAAAAATCCTACGGAAAATCAGCGAAACATAATATCAGTTATTAGCGTGGTTTGTCAGCAATGAAGAACTGGGACTATACGGTGTTGTTTGTATATTGTATTACTTTGGTAATGCATGTAATTTTCCTGCTAAAATAGGCTATACAGTATTTTCCCATTTCATTTTACGCTATTTAAAAATATTTCCCCTTTTATTTACTATTTCATGGTACGTCATACGCAAATCTGATTAAAATATTTCAGCTCATCTCGCTATAGCGCAACACTTTTATTCATGCATATAAAACATGAAACACTGCACCATCGTTATACTAAGTGCGATGAAAACGTCAAATGTTTGCCCCTTTTGTGTTAATTAGTCCTCTTGGATGCAGCGTCTAAAACTGCCGACGGTCGGTAGTCGTTTACCGCGCTTCAAAATATAACGTACTGCAAGTTTTAAGTGCATACATCGTGAATACAACTTAAAGGGAATACTTGAATTGCGTGCACAGTATTTTCCTGTTTGACAGTTCCAAAGAATTATTATGCAGAAAGAAAACTTCTGAAATAGTTTTATGTCCATGTCCACCCCTCCATTCGCGCATCTGGTTTTCTTGACCAATCACGTCTTTCTCCAAAAAAACTTTCCGCCGTCCAGGATATAAGAGTGCTCAACACTTCCAAAAAGCGAGATGGATCGTCGTGGCCAAGTAGCCACTTCTGTGGGCATGGTGGCAAGTTTACCGTGCAAAAGGTCTAACTGGAATTTTTTGACGTTGAATAAATGAATCAATATAACTGCCTATGTTCAAGCTGAAACTGGTGTTTGAAGAAACGATGCAGAGCGATTCCTGCTCCCCAGTGTCTCCAGCGGACAGTCCCAGCAACAGTGAAGAAGAAGTCGACAGGCAGCAGAAAAGATGTGGAAGGAAGAGGAGATCGAGCAGAAGAAACGGGGAGGAATCAGATAGCCCGACCCATGGGAAAAGAGGGAAAAAATCCAACAGCAGCAGTCCGCAGTCTTTTGAGGAGCTTCAGACGCAGAGAGTTATGGCGAATGTGCGCGAGCGGCAGCGGACTCAGTCCCTCAACGAAGCCTTCGCGGCACTGCGGAAAATCATTCCCACTTTACCGTCAGACAAACTGAGCAAAATCCAGACCCTCAAACTGGCAGCCAGGTACATCGACTTTCTCTGCCAAGTGCTACAAAGTGATGAACTGGACTCTAAAATGGCAAGTTGTAGTTATGTGGCACACGAGAGACTAAGCTATGCCTTTTCTGTGTGGAGGATGGAGGGCGCGTGGTCCATGTCAACATCTCACTAGTCTGTGGATTTATAGGGCAAAGATGGTATGATTTGCTTTCAACATATTTTATGTCTGTTTGTTTGTTTCTTTGTTTGCTTTCCCGGCAATTAATCCAAAAACCAAGTAACGACATTAAATTATATATAAATTTGAAATCATAGGTACATTTTTTTTGTTTAAATAGTGAACATAAACTTTACCAGCGTAATAGAAATTGATCATACTTACTATAATAATACTCAGCCAAAAAACGGTTTTCTGCACTTAATATACTAAATTAATAATGGTTATCGGAATAATAACAATCGATATTCTTACCCACAGGTGACAGCGATCCCATTAGTTTCTGCAAGGGGGCAACTCGGGAATCCGATGCTGGATATGTGTGCAAAGCTGCAATATTTTCTGGAAAATATGATAAAAAGAAACCAAAGATAACAGAACGTAAAAAGCACTTAGAAAGGCCGTGGACAATCCAGAACTCTGCGTTTTGATATAAATTTAATTGTTCAGTTTGACAATGAATGTTGGAATTGTGTATTTCTTTATGCATGTCTTTTGACCAAGCCGTGCCGAGTCTGTGTTTGGCTCGTGGAAAAGGTGAAAGTGCATCGCCATTTCAGTTTCATGGCCGCCGGATTGTTACAGCCATGAAATGACTTGATATTTGGCTTTTACATATGCAAGACCTTTTGGATTAATATTTTGTCTCCAAAATACATTTATTTATTTATTAATTACATTTGTCGCAATGCAGAATAGATCCGGTGTCTAAATGCATTCGTACTTTTTGTAAATAACTGTATTTTTCTGCAATAAAATATGAATTTAAAACGCTTTTCCAAAACGCATATATTTAAATTATGCTTTAACTGCCGCGAAAAAACAGCAAGTCTACGCTGTGTCAAATGTTGTTCTTAAAAATCTCAAAGTTATTTCTGTTACAAAGAAGAAGGTGCATAATAACGTTGTGTCGGTACCAGTGAGATTGTTTCCTCCTTAAATAGTTTAATTCCACACGCATTAATTAAGGTTTGACTTTGTCGTGTGTACAACTTAGGCTACATTATAAGCATCAAAATAGATTGCGTCAGCAGATGGCCGTTATAGATCTGTCGTAGTTAAATATGTCATTTATGAGACTCGCAGTGACTATATTACCGTGTTGTGCGTGCAGTAATACCGCTTAGAGCCAAGCAAAGGTTTTGTTGCTATGCGTTAAGGGTAAAAGGTTAAAACTGTGAAGTACAAATGTTTTATGACCAATATAAACGTTGTTGTAGTTTCATTAGTTAGTTAAATAAGTTTGACAGATATAGTAGCTCTAACAGTACATAAAGCGTTAGTAAAAACGATAGAGGAAAAACAGGCCTAAGTCGCACAGGATTCATACATTAAATTACTTATATATTATTTAATCTGAAGTGTTTAAAACTAAAGTGGTCGCCAAACGAAACTCAACTAAACTTTGGAAAACTGAGCGAAATATATAAAGCAGGCAGATATGTGTACACCAGTTTACTGAAATGTATCTTGGGGAAGTGTAAACTGGTCTTCAAATTATCACTAAGCACTTTAATTTAACTACGTAGTTCTTGGAGAAATGCATAAAAAGTATAGAAAAATCCAAAGTGACATACATCAATGCTATTATTATTATTATTATTATTAATGATAATAATAATAATAAGAAGAAGAATAACGATTATATTAAAGTTAATTCCTAAAGAACAATTAGATTTATCTGTTGCACTCATGAAGAGCCATATGTAAAAATAAATAAGCCGTCAGTGGAGAACATTTACAGTTCTGCACAATTTAACAAGCAGCTCTGTGTTTGGTTATTCTTGGGAAGTTGGCTGATCAAGCATAATTGGCGATTTTACATCGCCGCTATATATTGCACCTGGTTGCACGGCGAAGGCAAATCTGACAAATGTCAAAAGATCCATACATTACCCTTTTCATGCGGGTTAAAAACAAAGTCTGGAAAAGCATTTTGGCCTAAACCCTGTTACATTCTTGGGAATCAAAACGAGTGGCCATTTGAACAAGGTGTGTAATTGGGTTTTGAGGTATGTATGGAATTTCCAGATGTCTATGAAATATAACACGCGTTTGACAGGTCACTGGGAGGCGGAGCGGGTTACAGGCCTAGCAAGCAGAACAAACGTATAGGCCCTGACAGTCATGATATTTAAGTAATGATTAGCAAATCGCGGTATAGTTAATATGACAGAGTATAACCCTTTAAAACTCATCGCAGTATGACATGTAGCACTTGACTTTAAATATTCCCCATTTAAGAGGCAGTATTATAGCGGAGCAAATGATCTTCATGATTTACAGTTGTTGTTGTTGTTATGATGATTATTATTATATTTTTTAGGTTTTTGGAAAACCAAAAACTAGGCAGGGTTTGAGTGTTGAAAGACATATTAAATATATGCATCCAGCCCCAAAAAGTCACATGGCCTGCACGGCTTTTAATGACTTTGGCACGTGTGACTTAATTGCATTGAATTAAAGTTATTTGGGCCGGACTGAGCACAGCTTTTCACAGGAAATTATCACATTTTCACCTTCAGCGAAACAATATTTCAAAAGATTTGATCTAAAAAATGGGAATATGTTTGACGGAAACGGAAACTATTACAGCCTACTTAAGAAAGATCAAACCTAAGTGAAATGTATTTGCTGAGGCTAGTAAAGCTCTTACCTCTCATCAGAAAAGACCTGATCTTCGACATGCTGACAGACGACGGTAAAAGAGTGTGACGTGCACTCAAAAAATAATATATATTTTTTTGAGATACGTTTTAATGATCTGCGTGCTAAATGTTCATCATCGTGGCATGTATCTGTTAATGTCGGTCTTTTGCAGTGGTACGATCGCTCACGTATTTGTTTTTATCCTCCATACATCAGAAGTTTGAACACTTTCGGTCTGTTATATAGCATTTATTTCGAAATGAACTTAAGCGGGTGCTTTAAATTAGTAGATCAATTTGGCAAGTGAATTATTTTCTTGTGCCCCCCCCGCCCCCAGGCCTTCTTTAACTTTGTAAACTACCCGTATAAATGTAGCCTAGTAGTAATTCAATATCTCCTTCGCTTCCCAGATAACACACATAGGCTATGTTGAAATGATATTGATCAGACAAAAAGGTTGAAACAACGTTGATCTTCAATGTTTCACTTTATATCAACATTGAATCAAGGTTTTGCCACCAGCAATTTTTCAATATTGAAATTCTGACCTAAAATCAATTTAGTTTCAAAATTTGATAATTTAACACTGACCATAATTCAACGCATTTAACTATAATTCAACGTTGAAACAATAACATGGTACTATCTGGGATTGCTCTTGGTTGATTATAAGGTTTATCGTATATCGGCGTGTTACCAGTTTATGTACAACAACAAAAAATCCGGGATTACTCTGAATTATTATTATTATTATTATTATTATTATTATTAGATACACATAATACAACATTACCCCCTTAAAACAATCTGAAACTATTATTCAATGTCTTATGCATATACTCTTGACTAAATCTTCCATTTAAATAAACGAAATTATGCACTGTTGTTGCATTACAATTTTTCACATACAGTAAATAATATAGCATATTTCTATATGCAGATCTACCTGGTGTCCCGCAGCGTGAGATTTTTCAGCAGACTACCCTGCATTGAAATAAAAGATACATTGACGATGCATCGCAGTAGAATCGCTACATTACTAGCGATACTTTGTTTGGAATGTGCGTTGTCATCACATCCGTATTATTTTTCCTGTAAGTGATAAGTTAATGAACGTAGTAGTTTCGCAAAACATTTTCCGCCAAAATCATAATGTTTTCGGTGTGGGGCATCATAGTACGTCACTGGGGGGCAGGTGAAGCACTGAATATAAATAGCCTTAATGGCTGACACATGGAGATTTGGAAGACCTATTATTAACTCCTGGAACAAAACCCCTGGTGATGTTCTCCTCTGTCCCTATTTAGCATTAGGAAGTTTTGCTGTGATTTGGCCTGTCTTATCCTTGCTTAAAGTACACATTCCAGGTGCTCTTAGACCACTGGCTTGCAGTGCATGGCCTTTGCTGATTGATGCTTTTTTTCAGATGTTATTCTATGTCTAATCAAACAGAGACAGTAAACAGATGTGAGTTTTCTCTACTCTTCCAGCATGTTAAGAGGCATGAAGGTTTGGATACAGATTTGACATTTAACGTGTATGATCTTGCATGACCTTTATAGGCTGGGATGTCTTTAGATCTGATTGTCCAGTGTTTGTAAAACAGAGGATATCTGAGCAGCGGCATTTTGGCCAAGTGAAACATGTAGTGATGTGTAAAAGGACACGATGATGGACACATGCATGCACACTTCCTGCCGGCACTCTCAGAGAAGCCCCCTGATACTGCTGTGCACACAGAGAGAGATAGATGTTGTCTCAGCGCTGTGTGATGTGTTTGCCTGACCCCATGTGCTTTTTGAAGTTTCTCCTAGAAAAAACAGGAACAAAAGGAGAGCTATTTTTTGATTAGGATCAATTTTTGATTATTATACAGTATTTCCTTCACCATAGATGAATGTGACGAATAGCAAACAGCTGATGTGCGGATGAGTATAAGGCAGGGTTTCCCAATCCGGTCCTCAGGGACCTGCAGACGGTCCACGTTTTTGCTCCCTCCGAGATCCCTGCCAGACAGTCCACATTTTTGCTCCCTCCGAGCTCCCTGCCAGACAGTCCATGTTTTTGCTCCCTCCGAGATCCCTGCCAGTCAGTCCACGTTTTTGCTCCCTCTGAGCTCCCTGCCAGACAGCCCACATTTTTGCTCCCTCCGAGCTCCCTGCCAGACAGTCCACATTTTGCTCCCTCCGAGCTCCCTGCCAGATAGTCCATGTAATTGCTCCCTCCGAGATCCCTGCCAGTCAGTCCACGTTTTTGCTCCCTCCGAGCTCCCTGCCAGACAGACCACATTTTTGCTCCCTCCCAGTTCCAGGTAGGATAAAGGTACAGAAATTGGTAAAGTGGTATAAGGTCTGGTATTTATATATACATACAGGCAAAGATAAGGAATATAATTTTCAGGGGTTATATGCTGAGATGTTGGTACTCCCCAATGGTGCCCTTCAGTGTTTTACTGAAGTGTGTATGTGTGTGTGTGTGTGTGTGTGTGTGTGAGAGAGAGAGAGAGAGACTGGGAACACCTTATTCGGACACAATGTCCCCACAACGTGATGAATGCCTGTTTTTTTTCCCTTTTGGGGACCAGTTTCCTGCATAAATTCTGTAGATGATTATAGTTGATGATTTACACAAAATTACATTGGTTTCTGGTAGGAAAAAAGCCAGAAACCTATCAATGATGACCAGATAATTTGATGTTTGACATATGTGTAAATGATATAAAGTGTTATAATATGAGTATTTTGTCAGTGTTAAAAAGTTAGTGTTTTATTTAATATTGATGCTACGAAAAATCACTTAGATCTATTTAGTTATTCCTCCTTCCTTTTCTGTCATGTAAATTGGTGACCTATAAGATACTTTATTTTTTAAAGCCATATCTCAAATCCTCTTTGAACTGACACCTTTTTCCCATGAAGTCCTTGACATGTCACCCCCCCCTCCCCCCCCCCCCGACCCACAAAAAAAATTAAAAACCTGTGTGTCACATCAACTTTTTAAGAAAGATTAGCAACCACCTGTGGAAATGAAATGAAGTCTGGTATTACAGATACCTCACGTTGGTACTTTCATGAAGGATGCCATCGCTATGCCCTCTTGTGGCACGGAGAGCAGACCAACGCCGTCC